GTTTTCTCAGTGTTACTCAAGATTTTTACATTTAGTTTAATATCACACATCATTCATGGTGTTTAGTAGTTCCGAGCACATGAGCGACTCAGTGATGTTACAAGCCAAACCCCCTTGTTGCCTGTTCTTTCTGTCGCATCTGAATAAGTTGTACCCTGGGATCCATATTTCGTTGTCAAGGTGATCCTTTGTGTGCGTCTCTATGAAAGCCGCAAACATTGCATTTGACTCTGACCCCTTTCAAGGCAGGCGAAATTGCAAACCTGGAGAATATACAGAGATCTTTCACTGCACGTATAAGTACAACAAATCACTTAAATTACTGGGAACGGTAAAGTTCCTTGACCTATACTCCTTGGAATGCATGCGAGAAAGACACATAATATTATACACATGGAAAATCCTAGAGAGACTAGTCCCAGATCTGCACACATAAATCACTCCCTACGAAAGCCAAAGGCTCGACAAGGGATGCAAAATCCCACAATGAAAAGCAGGGGCGCCATGAGTATGTTAAGAGACAGCACAGTAAGTGTCAGGGGTCCAAGATTGTTCAACTGCCTCCCAGCATACATAAGGGGGATTACCAATAGACCACTGGCTGTCTTCTAGAGGGAGCTCGACAGGCACCTAAAGACAGTACCTGACCAGCCGAGCTGTGGTTCGTACGTGTGTTTGCGTGCAGCCAGCAGTAACAGCCTGGTTGATCGGGCCCTGGTCATGGACCGGGCCGAGGGGGCGTTGACCCCCGAAACACCCTCCAAGTATCTACGTTAGGCGTTTTTTTTTTTTGGGGGGGGGAATATAAATGTCTCGATTGTACAACCCACGTAGTGTTGGAGAATTTACAAAACCCAAAATTGTCAGAGCAGCTAAAATATATATTGACTAATAATTATATTTAAAAGCTGAAAATATTTTTGTACTGGTTGAACATGTTGGATATACTACAGCTAGTGATGGCTTGTGTATTCTGCAACAACACTGTGTTGATGTCATGTGTATTAAAAAAGTTATCTAATCTGGATAGACGAAATAGGTTAAAACTGAGTCAGCGTTTCCGCTCACATGATTCCTGTGTGTTGTTGCTATCACTTTTCCGTTTTCTATTGATATCGTCCACTGTTGTTGCCTGTAAGGGACTCTTCATCCAAGAACTTAGACCTGTCCTTCCTTTGATCGAGCATGAGTGCCTCCCATTCCCTCTGGGGCTGTATATATGACCCCTATGGGCTTACCGCTCCCCATACATTTAATAATAAAGTTGATGCCGTGACGCTGCAATTCTTCGTTGTATTCGTCAGAAACTGAGCCCTGACACAGGTCTATTTCAGATGATCCACTGAGGCTCACAAACGAGGTTGGGTAAATGTAAACCAGAGGTTTCATAATGGTCCTAAGTCCTCGGCCCATCCCTAGTGACGCACTAGATTGGTTACGAGCGTTTAAAATGCATCGACTACACAAGGGTTAAGATTGATTGCATGTCACATATTCACCACCTAATCAAGAATACTTTAATCGATAAAATAGAGTTTAAAATAAACTCTCAGCGTATATACACTGAGAGAAATACACCTCTCAGTGCATCTATCATGTAATCCTAGAGAGTAGAGACTGGTCCTTAATCTGCACACGGAAATCACTCCCTACGAAAGCAAAAGACTTGGCAGGCGATACAACATACCCCCAATGAAAAGTAGGGGCGCCATTAGTACATTCAGAGAAAACACCATAAGTGTCCGGGGCCCAAGACTGTTCAACAGCCTCCCACCAGCCATATGGGGAATTACCAATAGACCCCTGGGTGCCGGATCAGCTGGGCTGTGGTTCGTACGTTGGACTACGTGCGGGCAGCAGTAACAGCCTAGTTGATCAGGCCCTGATCCACCGGGAGGCCTGGATGTGAACCGGGCCGCAGGGGTGTTGATCCCCGGAATACCCTCCAGGTAGACTCCCGGTAACCTTGTTTGCTATGTGATTATACCTTCATTGCCTGTGTGTTAAATATTTCCATATTCCAGGGAATTGGGAGTTACTCTTCCCTTGTGGATCAAACCAGATTATTTCCCATCCTCAGGCGCTGTATGACCCCTATAATTTAGGGCTTCCACTTCCACGTAATAACAATTATCCACTACTGACTCATCGAATCTGCGACACTCGCTTGCCTACTTCACACACCACATACGCCGTTAATCTGTTCTTGAACTTCATCCATGGAATTAGACCTTTCCTCTGCTTCCGTGGATCGAATCTGATTGTCTCCCATTCCTCAACCGCCATATAACCCTTGTGTGTTTAGCGCTTCCCCATATATAATATCTGTTCTCGACAAGTCAATTTCAATAACATCGTAGCTTTCAGTATATTAATGGTATATATACACTACCGATAAGTTGATAAATAAGACATATGCAACACTTGGGTATCTTTATTGCATAAACGTTTTGCCTGCACAGCAGGCTTGTTCAGTCGAATACAGCTTTCATATTTTCAATGTTCGGTTCCGTAGCCTTGAAGAGTTGACAAGTGTTCAGTTCTCCTGACCCCTAGCCATAATTAAAGGGGGTTCAGTTTCCTAGTTTATAGTTAAATGACCATAAGCTCCAGTGACGAGTCATCATATGACTTAGACCGGTGTCAGGACACACTTGCCCTGCTTCCTGACGAATCTTACCTAACCAAACCGTTTTAGCAAATATCCCGGCCTTAATAATTCACACCTAGCCTACAGACTGGTAATGGAACCTAGCTGATGTTTCGGTAATGATACAAGATTGCCCAAAACGTCGTCTTGCTTCCAAGTCCAGTTTTCAGATTAGTTGTGAATTGTTTGTCATTTATAACACCTGCCCGTTAATAAGTGAATCACAATATATTCGGGGATCGCATCCCTGCCTGCCATCCAGGAACTGACCTGTGGGAGACCTCGACAACATATACATGTACTTGTTTTAAATTCGTCCGTTCAACTCGACATGCCCTTCAGTGGGTGGGAGGGCACCTTGATACTAGTAAAGAGCTTTTGATCCGAGGAGTAAGAGCTACCTTTCTCTTCCTTGGCTCGGATCAAACCTAATTGTCTCCTTTTCCCCAAACGCTGTATAATACTTTTAGGTTTAGCGTTTCCCTATGAATATAATAATAATGTGATGCATAAGCTTCGCATCAGTCTAAGGTATATATATTAAGTAAGTAAGTAAGTAAGTTTATTCAGGTATACACAAATACAGTTACATAGAATTATCATACATAGCAGCATATGTGTAGAGAACCTAGGATAACCCAAAAAAGTCAGACACAGTGACTTATTTCCATCCACCAATCATTATGAAGTATGAATATACATCTACCATACATGCTTTCGTCACATTTGTCATATCCCTACTTGCACTTATGTTCCTACCACCTGTATCTTTGAACGTGCACTCAAAGTTTTCTCTAGTCCCTGTCTCAGGAATTCAAATATCCTTCATGTTAATAAGTGGACTATGGTCTCGACGACCCTCGTGGTAGTCAGTATTCTACACTTAAGTAACTTATTCATCACACAAAATTGACATTCCTGTGAAAGTATTGCATCACACTCAACCTCCACGGCGAGTTCACACAACCACACATATATGGTCACAAAAAGTAAAATTGTTTTAAATTTCTATGATGTTTGCCACTGCACATTATTATTATGGGATCCTGTTTCATTGCGGATTAGATAACAGGTCTGCGTTGTGAAAATAGTACACTACACAAATAACCCGCACATAGGAGAGGGTTATTTGTGTGTTGTTCCAGCCACGGTAATTGTGACTTAATTCTTTGTGAAAATAGTCTTGGGCATCTGATTTATAACTGCCGTACACAAACTCTGTTGACTTTCTGTAGTATATTATCATTGCTATTATTAGTTTTATGACTGCATCCACTGAACATTTGAGTTTGCAAGTGTGCCACAATATGTAGAATTGGATAAATAAATGTACATCTAGTTTAATCTAATATTGTATTTTTACGACTTTGCAGTCTATTGGGATGACTAAGCTTGTGCTTGTTTGAGCAAGCACAGGATATATACACTCTCTCTTAGTGTATGTGAGGAGAATGTACTTTAATTCCCATTTTAAGGATTCAAGTATTCTTGGTATTAATGTACGCGTGAATTGCATACTTAATGACCCACGTGCAGTCGATAAACTTTAAACATACTAACTTGGGCAGGCAGGAATCTGGAAGATTATTGCCTTCATTGGAAGTCAGATAACCTCGCACACCCAATTATAGGCAACATACCCACCCGCATAGCCAACGAGGAAAACACTAAGTCTTTGTGTGCATGTCTCACTTTCTTTCCTAATGAAACTTAGATCTTACATAGCTTTAGTGCCACTCCATATAATTCTCTTGAGGTCAAGTGTGAACTAGGGATCATGGTGGGTTAACCTCTCTGTGAAAGTTATTATACCTTATGTGATATAAACACATTCTCTATTGAAACTTTCAGTAATGTTGATGTTACAGGGCTATGTATTTAGTAATACAGACTGATGAGCTATGATGCCAGTAGGTTCTTTCTTTGTCATTCGGGTGTTTAACAAGAAAATGATGATAGCTGCGATCTTAGACTCAACTGTAATCCGCTGACCTAGAATTTTCAGTGCCGTTCACTTACTTTCCAATTTGATAGTATCAAGCTTCTTGTTAATTTTGAACAATTTTAAAGTAGTTTATGATATTTTTGATCTACAAGGTGGTATAAAAGCCGGAGGAAATGAAAGCAACCACTATGATGGCTGAGATATTATCCGATATATTAGCAGGTTGTGGGATAATGATATGAGAGAAGTGAAACTTGACAGGTTGACGTCCTGTTAGTGAGGCCGGTCGCTAGGTGGCAGCAGCTTCCTCAGTGCTTAGTCAACACAAGTGGCTCTTACACCTTCCCTCCTGCCTTCCTTATTATAGGTAAGTCTTACAGTATGTATATGTAGTTACAGTACAGCTGATCACTTTTTTATATCTATTTGAATAATTACATATCGTATATAGTTTTTGGGAATATATAGAAGGTGCGTTTATTAACCTTACCTTATATGGGGTTGCACACTTTTCATCATTCACACACTATATCCAGGTGAGATTTTTACCATGCAATATATTGTTTTGTTTATCTGGTTTAAAGGCACATAACCAACAGGAATTTTGTTAAAAACGACTATGAAATGCCGAGTAAATGTAATGTAGGATATGACATGTTTGCACCTTTGCTGGTGTTGAGAGCCTCGTGCCACACCCACCAGCCTATGAAGATGCCCTTACGTACACCTTTTATCCCATAAATCAACATAAATAACTCTAATAAGTCATCAGATCATCGTGGAAGCTGCCCTCTAGACCAGTGCTTCCCAGTATTTTTTTTTTCAGTAACACCAGCTTGTATTTGTGGCAGTAGATAGAACCCACATTTTTTTTTTTTAGGTCCGTGTTTACTTTACGCCCAGTTGTGTTATTATTCTGTAAATTCTCCAGTATTATGTGTGTTATGCAATGTAGATATATTTAGTGCCGTGTGGCTCAGTAGCACACTCAGCTCTCACACTGACTGCCCATGGTTCAATTCCAGCATGGGTGTTAATGTTGAGGATGTTTTTTTAAATCTGCTGTCCCTGTTCACCTAGTAGTAAGTAGGTACCTGAGTGTTAGTCGACGGGTGTGGGTCACATCCTGGGGGGGGGGGGACAAGATTGAAGGACCCCAATGGAAATAAAACACAGTCCTTGATGACACACTGACTCTCTTTTGTTATCCTGGGTGGCTAAACCTTTGGGGTAAAAATCTGAACAAGTCTTATAGTATGAAAAAAAAAAAAAAACTTTGTATATATAACCTAGCCTAATGTTACCCAAGCTAAACTAACCGGCAATTTTACATCTTCTTAGTTAAGTCTGGTTGGATTATGTTATTAAATTTATTTATTAAAATAAAGCTTTCTTGTATATCCAAAATATAGCTGTAGAATCCCCTCCATATAACGGACTCCAGAAATTTGGAACGTAATGTGCTGGGTCACGTGATTTGGAAAGGGACAAAGTTCTTTGGTTCTAGAATTGTTCATTAATGTTACATCATGGCAAAACAATCTCTTCTCCATCCACCACAGTTAGCTTTACCAGCCACCCGTTCCCCCCATTAGTCCGTTATATGGAGGGTGTATTTCTGTTGCAAAACCTACGTAATAAAAAAGAATTAAAATAAATTATGTTCTTATTTTGCCTGTTATCACTTAAACAATTTCTGCATCAAATAAATATTTCTACCATGGAATGGGTGGAATGAATGTTATTTATAATATACAAGATTAGCGGATTTCTTCCCCAGGGGAAAAATTTTTTTTTATCCTATTTTGCTTGCATACTAAGATTCAAATTAACTCGAAGAAAGATTCATCCAAATACATATACCAATAAAATTACTTCAGTTTGTAAGTGTAGATTAGCATGTTTAGTGTATGGAGTAAAGGTCACTCTAGGAAAGATTGGAGAAAGGGGGTAAAGGAGGTTTTGTATGTAAGGAACTTGGCTTCTAGCAAGTGTGTTGGACAGTGAGTGGAGGCAAGTAGTTTGTATGATTTGACATGCCAGTGGAGTCAAAGTCAAATTTTTATTTCCACATGATATGATGTTTGTACAGAGATGGGTGACATTTGTTCGTGCAGAGCATTTCGGGCAAGCCCATGGTTAAGTAGAGCATTTCAAGCAAGCTAACATTTATGAAGGGATTGGGGGAAACCGATTAGCAGGACTTGGGTCCTGGGGATGAAAAGTACCATTGTCTGAACTCTGAAGGAGGGGTAGGGATATTTGCAATTTGGAAGGGCATCTGAACTGTAGTACTGGTGCTCCTGTGGCAAGACACTGATGGAGTAAGTGATGGTGAAAGCATTTCTTCTTTTTTAGGATCACCTTACCTTGGTGGGAGATGACCAGTATGATTAAAAAAAAAAGTGATAAAAATTATTTACTGAAGAGAAATACATTCATCACTTCTGCACAATTTCACATAATTCATGTAGGTTATGTCATGTTTATTTCTGATATACATAGTAGTACAACTTTAACAAGAAATCTTGGCTATCCATTTTTCTTTAATTTATAACTTAAAACTAGGTGTACATACATATACATGTATTTCATATACATATTTTGTTTCCTGCCTGAAGATTGGGGCATTTCAAGTGTACTGTAATTCTATCTGGTAACTCATAAAATTTTTTAAAGTAGCATTGGATCTTCCTTAGTACTGTGCTTTTAAAATTAGAGCATATCACAATCTACTATATATTCTTCTTGGGGCTTATTTTCTCTTTCTAACCTTTGATATGTGCCTCTATACTTTTGATGAGTTCCGAAAAACCTCGGAACTCATCAAAGGTACGTGTATGTTAAAGGGATGTCCATTATATCAAAATACAATGTTAAAAAAAAAACAATAAAATGCACTGAAGTACTCTACTGTGTCCCTAATATAGTGCTTAATACAATTTTTAGATATAGTATCGCAATAACCCTTTGACTGTTGCAACCCCAAATCCTGAAGTGTCTCCTGGTGTCGAAAAATTTTTGAAAAAAAAAATTTTTCTTATGAAATGATAGAGAATCTTTTCCAGATGGTAATGACACCAAAAGTACAAAATTTTATCAAAAACTTAGGGAATTATGCTCCTGCGAAATTAGCGATCTCGACGATATACATGCATCGGCGATTTCGCTGACTTTGAGCCCTATTTTCGGCCAATTCCATTGCTCCATTCGACCAAACTCATATTATTTCTATAGAACTCTATTTTTTCTATCAATTGAGTACAAGAAACTGCCCATTTACTGATTTCAGCTACCCAATAAAGTGGTCAGAAATTGGCAATTTGGCCAATTTCATGCAAATTAAAAAAGATGCCAATTTCAAAATAGGGTCCAAAATAAACAACACAGACATTCTTGGCACTAAAATAACATATCTTCTGTTCATTAGTCACCTCTCCAGGCCCCTCTTATATTACTCTTGCTTTCTATTTTGATTTTATAATTCACACAAAAAAATATAAGATTTACTGTTATGCAGACTACTGCATTATTGTAAAAATGGTATAAATAATATCAGTGCACTAGTGAAAGAATATTAGACTACCCAGTTGACGTGTATTGGATGTGTGGTGTGATTTGCTTACTCTTGAACATTGGTAAAAATTGAACATTTCTGCTATGTGAGCTCAATTTCAAGGTCGTTTTCATTGTGAAACTAATGAAAATCATCTCTATTTCTGTAATATGTTTTCCATTCTTTCAAATGAGACCAAGAAAACGAGAATACAACCATGAATACTATAGGAAAATACACCTCAGAGTCGGTGTTTTAGTCCAAAAACACGGTCATAGTTTTTTCTCATTATGCACTTCGTGCTGCAGGATTTTTTTTTATGCAATGCACACTGACCATACAGACCCATTCTCTCGCACATGGGCCTACCAGCTTTCTCCTGCTTGATTTGAAGCCACTAGAAATATTGAGTATATATACATGTACAGTGGACCCCCGGTTAACGATTTTAATCCGTGCAAGAGGGCTCATCGTTATGCGAAATAATCGTTATGCGAATGAATTTTCCCCATAAGAAATAATGGAAATCAAATTAATCCGTGCAAGACGCCCAAAAGTATGAAAAAAAATTTTTTTTACCACATGAAATGTTAATTTTAATACACACAAACTGAAAAAGGCATGCACAATTAAATGACACTTACTTTTATTGAAGATCTGGTGATGATTGATGGATGGGAGGAGGGGAGAGCATTATCTTCTTACTGTTTAGAAGGGGAATCCCCTTCCATTACGACTTGAGGTAGCAAGTCCTTTTCCGGGGTTACTTCCCTTCTTCTTTTAATGCCACTAGGACCAGCTTGAGAGTCACTGGACCTCTGTCGCACAACAAATCTGTCCATAGAGCTCTGTACCTCCCGTTCCTTTACGATTTTGTCTAAAATGGGCCACAACATTGTCATTGAAATAGTCACCAGCACGGCTTGCAACAGCTGTGTCAGGGTGATTTTCATCTATAAAGGTTTGCAGTTCAACCCACTGTGCACACATTTCCTTAATCTTTGAAGTAGGCACAATGGATTCCACAACTGGCATAGGCTTCTCAGGGTTAGCCCCAAACCCTTCAAAATCTTTCTTAATTTCCATACTAATTCTCACCCTTTTTTACCACAGGGTTGGCACTAGAAGCTTTCTTGGGGCCATGGTCACTTATTTTCCAGAAACAGCACCGAAAATACTGTAATAATACGAAATATTCCGAGTGTATGCTTGGATGTTACCGCGGAGGCTGGCTGGTAAACAATGGGACGGAGCGGCACATGTGAGGCTGGCTGAGGGCACATTGGACGCGTCTCGGACGAAAATCGGTATGCGGGTTTTTAATCGGTATGCGGGGCAAAAATTTTGCGATAAAAGTAAGCGTTATGCGGAAAAATCGCTATGCGATGCCATCGTTATGCGGGGGTCCACTGTACATCCAAAACACTGGCTCGGAAGACGTATATATATGGCCGAAACAGTCAAAGGGATAAACGTCGAATATAAAAAAGTTAAAAGTACAGTTTACCCAGCGGATTTTGCTCAGAATTTTTAAAGTCTGTTGTATCAGGGTTCATTATATCAAGTGTTTACTGTAAAACCATAAAAAAAGGCTACCATAGTATGTAACCAAAATACAGTGTATGTATATAACCGATATTTGTGCAAATTAATTTTGTTACTGCAAACTAATGTAGTGCAACATTACAGAATAATTTCAGTTCAGAGGGTCATTTGAACTGTTATATCAGCACATTTCTGGCAAGATAGAATGAATGAAGGTGAATGTGTTTTTTTCTTTTTTGGGTCACTACCTCGGTGGGAGATGGCCTGAGTGTTACAAAAAACAAAAAACGAACATAATTATAATACATTACAATACTTATTTCATTTATATCGCCCTTTTTTTCAGCCAAAATGTCATCCCGCAAGGCTGGAAAGAAGATTACAAAGAAGCGTGCCCAGCGTGCCACTAGCAATGTTTTTGCTATGTTTGACCAGGCTCAGATTCAAGAGTTCAAAGAAGCCTTCAATATGATTGATCAGAATCGAGATGGATTTATTGATAAAGATGATCTTCATGATATGTTAGCTTCACTAGGTGGGTATGTGGTGCATTACAATCATAGCAGATGTCTGGTTGAATAGTCTTTAAAACTAATTTTGAATTTGGTAAGTTTTAATTAACATACAAATTTTCAATGGAGGGCAATAAAAATTAAGTGTAAGATCTCACTTGAGAAAAAAGTATTGATTGCACATACTGTACCATGTATACAGTGGAACCTTGATACTCGAACAATTCGATATTTGAACTCTTTGTTCAGTAAAAACATTGCTCAGTAGTTGACCATTTGCTCAGCACTCAACCAAACAAACACGGCCTGCCAGAACTTCAGTGTAAACTGTTTTGTGTTTCTTTGCATTTTTTGCTGTTTTTTTATATTGTATAAATAAATCACCATGGGGCCTAGGAAGATTAGTGATAATAGCCAACAAAAAAAGAAAATTGGTTGGGAAAAATTCGTTTGGTACTCAAACAGATCGGCACTCGAACAGCCTTATGGAATGAATTAAGTTCATGTACCGAGGTTCCACTGTAGTTTGTTGGCTATTGTGCCTCACTATTAGGTATCCTTTTCACGGTAACATTTCAGTGTTTTGTTCCTTCAGAAATGCCTAGATGGATTATGGTAAAGGAATTTTGATGAGATTAAGTGAAGTTACCCCCCCTTTCCTCAGATCTACAGTGCTAGTCACGGCATTATGCCGGGTGAGTGCCTCAGCATGATGCTGTGACGAAAATCAAAGGCCTACCATACAGGAGGAAGAGTCTTTTTTCGTTAGTACATTATGCTGGGTAGCAGCCATTAGTATGTTATGGCCTGCTGCCACACCCCACAGTGACTCCTCAGTTAGCAGATGTTTTGGTTGATTTCATTGATATTGAGAGATAAGATGATTTTTTAGCAAAGTTCTAAATTTATAAGCTGTCAGAGGATCCTTGACCTGTTCCGGTAGCGAGTTCCGGATCTTCAGGCCCTTTATGTGCACAACGTTCTTGCATTATGAGAGACTGACTCAAGGGATGTTAAAAAGTACCTTGTGTTGTGACTGCTTTCTGTTTTAACTGTCAAGGAGTAGTTTTAGGGGGAGTGTTTACAGTGGAGTTTGATGTTCTGTATAGAGGATAGAGGAGGCCTGGTCTCAGACCGGGCCGCGGGGGCGTTGACCCCCGGAACTCTCTCCAGGTCTCTCCAGGTAGGTAGTAGGCACAATAACATGAGTGTGTGTCTTGTATATTTAGCAAGTTGAGTCTTTTGAAAAGTGGTGGGGTGTGCTGTCAGCACAGCAGTTTTTTGTTGGAAGAAACCTAGGCTGGATTATGCAAAGAAATATCTTCGCTGGAATCCTCAACGGTGGTCTGAAGTACTTTTGAGTGATGAAGCAACCTTCTCCGTCACCTGTAACCGTGGGGGATGTGTATCGGCCCAGAGGTAGTGACCCACTAGACCCACGCTACACCTGTGGGACCACCAAACACCCAGACTCACTCATGGTTAGGAGGTGTTTCAGTGCTCAGAGTGTTGGTGAACTCATTGTGGTTCACAAAAACCGGTATATGATCCAGTATAATTACCTGGAGTTATTGCGTGACAATTTACCTGAGGCGCTTGACAAGTGTGAAGCTATGGTTTTTATGCAGGGCGGTGCACCGTGTCATACCGCTAAATCTGTAATTCAGTGGCTTAAGGACTGTGAAGTGAGGTTCTTTAATGACTGACCAGGCAATTCTTCAGACCTAAACCCTATTGAGAACCTCTGGTCAATAGTGAAACGAAGTTTACTGGGCAAGGGTATCAGGTCCATCCCGTGGCCGTAGGTTGCTATACATGAGGCATGGAATAATATACCTCCCCAAACCCTCAAGAATTTGTGAGAGTGTCTTCCTACATGGCTGAGGGACGTCATTCAAAGTTTATTCTCTATAAGGATTACAATGCTGAGTTTACAGAATTTGATTATTGTGTGGTTTACATGAGTAAAATAATAATTACAGAGTGTATCACTAGAACACCTAGCATGGCTAGGCATTTCGGGCAGACTTAAATTAAATCTTAAGTTTAAAATATTACAAAATTATGAGGTAAGTTGGTATTATGGCTAAGTGACTAAATACTAGTTTGTGAGTTTAGCAATGTGAATGCTTTTGTTTTGGCACTATACATAGTTTCAGTATTGGAGTATCACAGGCCAACTTATGACTAGTTAAGATTCATTATTTTGAGATTGAGATTGATATTTCTGTTTATGGTCAAATGGGTGAGTGAGTGTAAGTGTTAACCACCAGGTGGTATTCGTGTAATTAGTTGACAGGGTGTATCAGGGAGATAAGATGTTTTCTGACGGTAGTTTTGAAGGTGATGATTGTGTCTGCAGTTTTAGAATTTTCAGATAGGGTGTTCCAGATTTTAGGGCCTTTGACATACATTGAATTTTATTAAAGGTTTAGTCGGACATGGGGAATGTCATAGAGATGTTTGTGTCTGGTGTTGTGCCTGTGGGTTCTGTCACAACTATCAAGAAAGGATTTTAGGTCAAGGTTAATATTGGAATTTAAGGTCCTGTAGATGTAGATTGCACAGTAGTAAGTGTGGATGTACTGAACAGGGAGTAAGTTTAGATCTATGAAGAGTGGGGGGTTGGGGTGTTGCCAGGGATGGGATTTAGTGATTATTCTTACTGCGGCTTTTTGTTGGGTTATTATTGGCTTTAGGTGTGTTGCTGCAGTTGAACCCCAAGCACAGATAGCATAGGTGAGGTATGGATATATAAGTGAATGGTATAGTGTGAGAAGGGCAGTTTGCGGCACGTAGTGTCGTATCTTGGAGAGGATCCCAACCGTTTTGGATACTTTTTTGGTTATGTGTTGGATATGGGTGCTGAAGTTCAGGTTGTTGTCGAGGTATAGGCCTAGGAATTTGCCCTCATTATGCCTGGCAATTAGAGTGTTGTCGATCTTAATGTTAATTTGCGCATCTCCTGCTCTGCTACCAAACATAATGTAGTAGGTTTTGTCAGTGTTAAGCGTAAGTTTATTGGCTGTCATCCAAGTTGATATTTTGATCAGCTCCTCATTAACAATGGTGTTGAGGGTGGCAAGATTAGGGTGAGAGATGACATAAGTCGTGTCGTCAGCAAAGAGAATGGGGTTCAGTTGTTGAGGTACGTTTGGAAGATCATTGATGTATATGAGGAAGAGCAGGGGACCAAGGACACTTCCCTGCGGAACTCCAGTATCAAGTGGCTGTGTTGTTGGTGCTGTGTCTTTAATGGTGACATACTGATACCTATTAGTAAGGTAAGATTTGAAATATGCAAACGCATGGCCTCTTATACCATAATGGTCAAGTTGTGGAGTAGGATGCTGTGGTCTACTGTGTCAAAAGCTTTTCTTAGGTCAATGAAAATTCCTAGTGGATATTCCTTATTTTCCAATGCTGTGTAAAGCAGATCTAGCATTTTTATGATTGCATCGTTAGTGCTTTTATTTTTCCTGAATCCAAATTGGCAGGGGTTGAGTATGTTTTATGCCGTTATAAATGAATATAGTCTCCTGTGCACGAGTTTCTCAAAGATTTTAGATAGCAATGGTAAGTTTGATATTGGCCTATAGCTGTTTAAATCTGTAGGGTCACCACCTTTATGTATTGGTGTAACCCTTGCCGTCTTGAGTAGTTTCGGGAAGGTGCTAGTTTCTAGTGACTTGTTAAAAAGTAATGAGATAGCATGCGAGAGGACATGGGCCGCTCTCTTGTACAATAATGGTGGGACATGAGACAGATTCCCTGAGTTATTTTTAAGTGACTTTATAATCTCGGTGACTTCCGTGGGCTCAGTTGGAGCAAGATAGAAGGAATTTGGGAAATTCCCATCTAGGTAGTCCCCGGCATGGGCATTGGTACGTGGGATTTTATTGGCGAGATTAGAACCTATGGTTGAGAAGAAGTCGTTTATCTTGTTAGCTGTGTCAGTGGGATGCAGTGGTGTTTCATTAGGTTTAGTTAGTACAATATTCTTGTTTTTTTTCAGTTTGTGGGTCCCTAGAATCTGAGAGTGTTTTCCAGGTCTTTTTTATATCTCCTCTTGTGTCAGTGAATCTACTGGAGTAGTATAGTTGTTTGGCTTTCTTTATTACTTTGGTGAGGACTGATGAATAGTGTTTAAGAATATCTTTGTGTATTAAGCCCTGTCTATATTGCTTTTCATATTGGTGTTTCTTATCAATGGATTTCAGAATGGTGCTGGTTAGCCATGGGCAACCAAGCCGTTTGTTTGTGATCTGTTTCGTTTTTATAGGACAATGTTTGTTGTATAGTCTAAGTAATTTGTTAAGAAAAATGTCTGTCCAGTCATCAATACCATTGGCCTTGGAGAATTCTATAGGCCAGTCAACAGTCTCTAGGTCAGCTGTGAACTTCCTTATTGAGGCCTTATCATTAAGCATAAAGGATGCAGCACCAAGTATTAAAACCTTAGTAAGTGTGCAAATATATATACAGTGGTACCTCAGGATACGAACAGCTCAAAACGCAAACGATTATGTAAGTGTACTTATGTAAGTGCTTTTGTAAGTGTATTTTTGGGGGTCTGAAACGAATTAATCTAATTTGTATTATTCCTTATGGGAACAAATTCTTTTGGTATCAGCACTCGAACAGCCTTCTGGAACGAAATAAGTTCGTATCCCGAGGTAACGCTGTATAGGAATCTTTTATGGTATGTGTTTGTGTTTTGGTACGTGTGTGGGGGAGGGGCAGCATAATGCCGTGACTAGCACTGTAATTGCCTCCCAACACAGAAGTGCTGTATAACTGATGGGTTTAGGGCTTCCCCTTAAATACAATAATATGTTTGTTTTGTTTCTCCTGCTATAATACGCTGTATCATTTCTAAACAATACAGCAAATTCACATTTATCTGGATCAATCGGGGAAGGTATTTTGGGCAAGTGAACATGTTTGTGAATATTGGGGAAAAAAATAACTTCATTCATATATTATATTATCAAGATCACATGGATAAACAAGCAGAAGTAAAGCAAAAACTATCAACAAATATTTGTTTACTTGGTGAAAGTGCAACTGTTATCAACCTCAGATGTAAAAGATTTGGTTTGAACTATTTCATTTTCTACTTTATGATATTTACCGTGTAACAGATGTACAGTTATTTATATAAACTTCAAAATAACATCTTCAACTTTTCTTATACTGCAGTGAAAACTGCTTATTCCATTACAGTAACGTATTCTCTGTAAATCCCGCAATGTCCATGATCACCTTTTGATTAGTTGAGGTGTCTTTAATTGACAGCATCATTTTCCTCTTACCACCTACTGATTAATCAGTATTGCTAATAAACATCTTATATTTTAATGTAACCTAATCATAGTCACTTATGTAATAAGTAATTAATATTTTTAAGAAATTTTTAGTCCTATATGTAAATGCTAGAAACTGAGTGGAAGCACTGGCTCTTCAAGTGGCCATCATGTAGATGTTTGCTTTGAACACAGCTCCCTCAGATGAGCTGTGAGTGATAAGTTTTGGCGAAGATATCAGAGTGGGTCTATGCAAGGAGTGTACATGCGCGGTATGAAAAAGATACTGCCCCATGCGGTGTATGATGGGGAAAAGCAAAACTGACCTTGGGTATGGTTTAAAATATTTAGGTTCATGTATTTTCTCAGATGGTTTTTTATTTCATTGGCTACTTCTTGGTATCAATTGATACAATGGAAAACTTTATTGCTGAAATAGAGATGATTTTGGTTGGTTTCAGGGATGTAAGTAGTAGCTTGAAATTGGGCTCAGTATGGTGGCAATATTTGATTTTTGTCACCATTTCTGGGGGACAGGTAAGACCCTCTTATACCCCCAAAATGTTTTAGGGGGTTTAAATTATTTAATTATTGGGACACTGTAAACCATGACCAATCATTCCTGGTTATATTTTATTATCCAAGAAATAGGGTAAATCTTCATGATCATGAATTCAAAATTGCAGGCAAGTGTAATATATGAGAGGCCTGGGGACATGATTAATGAGCAGAAGAAATGTTTTAATGCCTGGATTGTTTACATTATTTATTTTTAAATTAAAATTCCCTTAACCTTGTGTAAAATTGGGCAAATTACTGAATTCTGTGCCCTATTTAGGGTAGTTATAATAGTTAAATGGAAGTTTCTTGTGCTAAAAAAAAAATCCCCCCAAAAATGCCCATTCCGAACATCAAATCTAGTCTGGCATTTTGGTGTACCAGGATTGGATAAGTGAGAGTTCAATGCATATATCTTGAAGGCCTCTGCATTGACTATGAACTTTGAATCCTTATAGTAAAACAAGGCTGTCTGTTGAAATTGGGAGCCATGTTTGGTATTCTTTTCTTATCAGGAATGTTGGTAGGGAATTCATTATAGGTTCATGAATACTACTGATAACTGTACCTGGTATATTTTATAGATTGTTTTTTGCTCAGTGTAGATGTTTTAACCTAAAAAATTGCCTTAGTTCTTAAGCATTTGCAGTTGTTATACCATAGAGATACTGAACTGTATTAATTTTCTCATTCTTGTTGATTAGCGAGATTTATGTAACTACTAATTTACAGTTTACATTTATTTGGATGTATATTTTGTCAAAATCTGTGAAGTAGTTTAATTAAATAAACACTTAAGAATTGATATTCAAACACATCATACTGGAAAGTCATAATAAGCTGACCATATTAATTGAGATCTGTCAACACCAGGGGCCTGCGTTATATATTTTCAGTACAGTACAGTACTGTACTATTGCTTAGCAAAATTAATCCAACCAATTTATCCACCTGGATTACTGCACAGTTATGGCAAAATGGTACATGGAAAAAAAAAAAAATAGTCTAATTAGTGATTTGTAAACAAGTACTGTAAGTAGAGTATGCATAAAAGGAATGAATGGGTTATTCAGGTGTTGGTACCTCCAAAATAGACAGTAGCTGGGTACACTTAAGATGGCAGTATACAGCTAGGCATGAATTTTTTAAAAATGCAATACCAATAAAATGCGTGGACACCACTAGCATAGCTCTGCTTCAATAAATAGGTAATTAAATATGTCAACACAATTTTCTCACACATATGGTGCATCAGTAGGACCTGACAATGCTGACATAAAAAGAACATTTTTTTATATTAATCATAAACAAACTGATTTGCAAAGGTTGCAGCAATGTAAGATTGTAGATACCTCTCTTGTCTTTGTTGTAAAGTAACTTATATTGCATATTGTTTTTTTTTTTCAGGAAAGAATCCCACTGATGAATATTTAGATGGCATGATGAATGAAGCTCCAGGACCCATCAACTTCACAATGTTCCTTACATTGTTTGGTGACCGCCTCCAGGTTGGTTTGTCCTTAAAGAATAAAAAATTTATTTGGTCACTTTCTCTTGAGTGATGCACAATTTATTTAGTAATGGATAAAGATGTCAATTAAATGTGTAACCACTTTTGTTGTTTCAATGAGTAATAAGTTGCCTGAATATTTTTTTCCTCCTCCAATTTTTTATTTTATTTTGCTCATAACTAGAATTCTTCATCTAACTTTCTTTAGATTTTCGATACTTATTTACAGTAATGAGGACCAAGTTGTTGGAGCGCTTGGCATGTTCTCATGCGCTATGACCAAAGTTGTTAAACCCATTCCCACTCTCTAGGAAAGGCTTAGATAACTTCCAAAATCCTGTGTCATACTTTCAGTCAAAAAAGGTGCCAAAAAACCTATGATAGCAACAAGTGAAATCCAGATGTCCAAGTGCAAATTTGATCGTTTTGTGTAAAATAGTGTAGTGTAATTTTTTTTTTTTTTACAGTCAGCTGTCTCCCATGAAGGCAGGGTGACCCCCCAAAAAAAAGAAAATATCCAAAAAAGAAAATACTTTAATCATCATTCAACACTTTCACCTCACACACAGTCACTGTTTTTGCAAAGGTGCTCAGAACACAACAGTTTAGAAGCATATACGTATAAAGATACACAACACATCCCTCCAAACTGTTAATATCCCGAACCCTTCCTTTAGAGTGCAGGATTCGAGTCCGGTTATATAAAAATAACCGGTTTCCCTGAATCCCTTCACTAAATATTACCCTGCTCACACTCCAACAAATTCCCAGGTCCCAAATACCATTCATCTCCATTCACTCCTATCGAACATGCTCATGCAGTCCAAGCCCCTTACCCCTTCCTTCCAACCTTTTTGAGGATGACCCCTACTCCGCCTTCCTTCCCCTACAGATTTATACGCTCTCCATGTCATTCTACTTTGATCCATTCTCTCTAAATGACTAAACCACCTCAACAACCCCTCTTCAGCCCTCTGACTAATACTTTTATTAACTCCACACCTTTTCCTAATTTCCACACTCCGAATTTTCTGCATAATATTTACACCACACATTGCCCTTAGACAGAACATCTCCACTGCCTCCAACCTCCTCCTCGCTGCTGCATTCACAACCCAAGTTTCACACCCATATAAGAGTGTTGGTACTACTATACTTTCATGCATTCCCGTTTGCCTCCATAGATAACGTTTTTTGTCTCCACATATACCTCAACACACCATTCACCTTTTTTCCCTCATCAATTCTATGATTAACCCTTTCAGGGTCCGTGCCGTAGATCTACGGCTTTACGTTCAGGGTCCAAACTGTAGATCTACGCCATGAGCTCAGCTCACTCTGATAAGCCATGAGTGGTAAATTTGGGCCTAGATATGAGAGAATACATCTATGTGGTATGTGTGCACCACATAAAACAAATCCTGCAGCACACAGTGTATAATGAGAGAAAAAAACTGAGACCATGATTTTTTATTAAAACAGCAAGTTTGCAGTGTTTTTTTGTATGTTTTTTATAGTTATATTTGCAATTTCTTGGTCTCATTTGATAGAATGGAAGATGTATTACAGAAATAGAGATGATTTTGATTGGTTTTAGCACTGGAAATGGCTTGAAACTGAGCTCAAAGTAGCGGAAGTGTTAAATTTTTGCCAATGTTCAAGAGTAAACAAACGACCTCACACGTCTAGTACACACCAGCTAGTGGGTCTAATATACATTCACAAATGTGGTGATCATATTTACACAATTATTACAATATTGCATAACAGTAAATCTTCTATTTTTTGGTTTGAATAAAAATTCATTATGTGAATAAAAAATCAAAATGGAATTCATTTGTAAAGCCTCAAAACATAACTAATGAACAGAGGAAATATTAATTTAGTGCCAGGAATGCCTGCATTATTTATTCTGGACCCTATTTTGAAATTGGAATATTTTGAACTTTGTGTTAAATTGGCCAAATTACCAATTTCCGATCACTATTTTGTAGTTGACTGGTCGATTTATCATGCTCAGTCGATGGAATAGAAGTAATACTAGTGAAATAGCTAAGAATTTGGTTGACTGGAATAATGTAATTGGCCTAAAATGGGAGTCAAAGTCGGCAAAATTGCCGATTCGTAAATATCGTGACACATCAAAATTTGCGAGAGCATAATTTCGTCAATTTTCCATAAAATTTTGTACTTTTTGTTTTATTACCTTCAGAAAAAGATTCTCTACCATTTCATAAGAAAAAATAACAATTTTTTTTTTTAAATTCTTGGAACCTGTTGCGCACTTTGAAATTTGGCCTCTGGACCCTGAAAGGGTTAACCTCATCCTTCATAAATCCATCCGCTGACACGTCAACTCCGAAGTATCTGAAAACATTCACTTCTTGCATACTCCTCCTCCCCAATTTGATATCCAATTTTTCTTTAAATCATTTGATGCCCTCACCACCTTACTCTTTTCTATGTTCGCTTTCAACTTTCTACCTTTACACACACTCCCAAACTCATTCACTAACCTTTGCAATTTTTCTTTAGAATCTCCCATGAGCACAGTATCATCAGCAAAAAGCAACTGTGTCAATTCCCATTTTTGTATTTGATTCCCCTTAATTTAATCCCACCCCTCTCCCGAACACCCTAGCATTTACTTCTTTTTCAACCCCATCTATAAATATGTTAAACAACCATGGTGACATTACACATCCCTGTCTAAGACCTACTTTTACTGGGAAGTAGTCTCCCTCTCTTCTACACACCCTAACCTGAGCCTCACTATCCTCATAAAAACTCTACAACATTTAGTAACTTACCACCTATTCCATATGCTTGCAACATCTGCCACATTGCTCCCCTATCCACTCTATCATATGCCTTTTCTAAATCCATAAATGCAATAAAAACTTCCCTACCTTTTAAATACTTTTCACATATATGCTTCAATGTAAACACTTGATCTACACATCCCCTACCCACTCTGAAACCTCCTTGCTCATCCACAATCCTACATTCTGTTTTACCTCTAATCCTTTCAATTATAACCCTACCGTACACTTTTCCTGGTATACTCAGTAAACTTATTCCTCTATAATTTTTACAATCTCTTTTGTCCCCCTTCCCTTTATATAAAGGGACTATACATGCTCTCTGCCAATCTCTAGGTACCTTCCCCTCTTTCATACATTTATTAAACAAAAATACCAACCACTCCAACACTATATCCCCCCTGCTTTTAACATTTCTGTCATGATCCCATCAGTTCCAGCTGCTTTACCCCCTTTCATTCTACGTAATACCTCACGCGCCTCCCCCACACTCACATCCTGTTCTTCTTCACTCCTAAAAGATGGTATACCTCCCTGGCCAGTGCATGAAATTACCGCTTCCCTTTCTTTGTCGACATTTAAAAGTTCCTCAAAATATTCTCGTCATCTATCCAAAACCTCCTCTCCCCATCTACTAACTCCCCTACTCTGTTTTTAACTGACAAATCCATTCGTTCTCTAGGCTTTCTTAACTTGTTTAACCCTTAACCCGTAAATGGTCCAAGCAGATCTATGTTCACATGCGTAGTGCTCCAAAAGTAGATCTACTTTTTTTTTATATATATTTTCAAATATAACAAAAAAAAAGTAGAGCAAAGTTTTTTTGACACATTTTCAAATGTTGAAAAAACGTATATATACGTTTGGACCGTTTACGGGTTAAACTGTCCAAACGTAGATCTACGTTTTTTCAACATTTGAAAGTATGTAAAAAACGTAGATCTTCTTGTTTTTTTACATTTGAAAATGCGTAAAAAATACTTTGATCTACATTTTTTTTGTTGTATTTGAAAATGTGTAAAACAACGTAGATCTACTTTTGGAGCACTACGCATGTGAACATAGATCTGTTTGGACAGTTTAAGGGTTAACTCACTCCAAAAATTTTTCTTGACTGTGCTTCTCCCACTCTTTCATCTACTCTCCTTTTGCACTCTCTTCACCTTTCTTTTACTCTCCATATACTCTACTCTTCTTATAACACTTCTGCTTTGCAAAAACCTCTCATAAGCTAACTTTTTCTCGTTTATCACACCCTTTACTTCATCATTCCACCAATCACTCCTCTTTCCTCCTGCACCCACCCTCCTATAACCACAAACTTCTGCCCCACATTCTAATACTGACCATACCCTGGCCGGGATTGAACCCGCGGTCAGAGTCTCAAAACTCCAGCCCGTCGCGTTAGCAGTGAAGGGACTTGAGCTAGAGTTCGTCACGGCCACGCTAGCTGGAGATTCGTCTGTAAAAACTTGCATTTGTGGTCACAGTGGTGCCTGTGCTAACCTTCCTATGGTGTAGAAATATACCTAGTTGGACGGATCTTATTGTGGCTAGCTGGTCTAGTGGCTAACGCGACGGGCTGGAGTTTTGAGACTCTCTGACTGCAGGTTCAATCCCGGCCGGGGTATGGTTTGTTTGCAATCGTGCCATTACGATTTCGTGAGTCATGTTGACAGCAGTGAAGGGACTTGAGCTAGAGTTCGTCACGGCCACGCTAACTGGAGATTCGTCTGTAAAAACTTGCATTTGTGGTAACAGTGGTGCCTGTGCTAACCTTCCTATGGTGTAGAAATATACCTAGTTGGACGGATCTTATTGTGGCTAGCTGGTCTAGTGGCTAACGCGACGGGCTGGAGTTTTGAGACTCTGACCGCGGGTTCAATCCCGGCCGGGGTATGGTTTGTTTGCAATCGTGTCATTACGATTTCGTGAGTCATTCTAATACTGCCTTTTTAAAACTATTCCAACCCTCTTCAACCCCCCCCCCCCACTACTCATACTTGCACCAGCCCACCTTTCTGCCAATAGTTGCTTATATCTCGCCCGAACTTCCTCCTTTGTTAGTTTATACACTTTCACCTCCCTCTTGCTTGTTGTTGCCATTTTCTTGTAAAATTTTTATTCCCATTAAATCATGTTCAATAAAATTTTAATTTACTTCTTCTGAATGACTTCAATATTTAATGGCTGATGCAGGTTAGGGCCAGGATAGTATCTATTAAGTTCTGTTTGTGTGTGGGCAGATTTATTGATGTAGTAAAATAGTTGAAAAAAAAGTTGGAATCACTCCTCTAATTGGCTTCAAATTTTCACAACTGGTTTTATTTCTAGAAAACACAGCTCATGCTACCCACTTTCCTAATTTTATGTTATAGTGAAATTTATTTTTCATTCAGTTACTAAAGAATTTCTTGTGATTGGTTTCAAATTAATATTAATGCATTCTGTAAGAAGGATGATACCCCATTAAAGTTTAATATAGTACATTTTTTTAATTAAGACTAAAATGAGTGAAATCTGATAAAAACTTGTTGCTTTATGGTGTACAGTGGTCCCTCGCTTTTCGTAGTTCTTGGCTATCGTAAATTTCGCCAATCATAGGGGTATTTTCGTATAAACATGGACTCGCTTTTCATAGGTTGACTCGCGAATAGTAGTTCGTCCGGGACGTGTACGCACGGTGTGAGCCGGGGCGGCCTCCATACCCAGCCACTCTGGCATTGTTTACCAGTGAGTGAAGGTCCCCTCAAGTGCTCCTACGAAATATTTCAAAAATTTCACTCATTTTAGTGCTTGCAATTACTAAATAAGCTACCATGGCTCCAAAGAAATCTCCTAGTGCCAAGCCTGTGGTAAAGAAGGTGAGAAATATGTACAGTGACAAAGTCTTGGGCCATTTTAAGGAAGTATTAAAGAGATGCCAGAAACAGAGCTCTCTCCACAGTTACTTTGCAAGACAGGACTAGTGACTCTCAAGGTGGTCCTAGTGGCATTAAGAAACAGAGAAGAGAAGGAACCTCTGAGAAGCAATTGGTACCTAAGGTGTTGCTGGAAGGGGATTCCCCTTCCAAACTGTAAACAATCCAATCTCTCTCCTCCTCCAGTCTCCAATACACTAAGAAGAATCTCCAATAAAGGTAAGTGTTATGCTGTTAATGTTTCATTCATCATTTCCCATTGTATTGTTTATGTACTATATGTATATTTCATGTAAAAAAATTTTTTGTTTTAATACTTCTGGGTGTCAGGAACGGATTAATTGTATTTACATTATTTCTTATGGGAAAATTGATTCGCAAATCGTAAATTTCATTTATAGTAACGGCTCCAGGAACGGATTAATTACGAAAAACGAGGGACCACTGTATTGAATTTGGCAACATTGGCACTAAAGCTCCAGTTAGTTTTTTTAGTTTCTGATTTTTCTAAGCCAAATAATGTGTAATTTTCATTTTTTTATTTGTATGCACTGGTTAATACTAAGTCCCACATTTTGCATTGAAAATATTCTGATTTCATACAAAATATAATAGTGCAGATGGGTCAGGAAGGACATTGCAACATAAGAACAATATAAATTTTTTTTTTTTTCAATAAGTTGGCCGTCTCCCACTGAGGCAGGGTGACCCAAAAAAGAAAGAAAATCCCCAAAAAGAAAATACTTTCATCATTCAACACTTTCACCTCACTCACACATAAGCACTGTTTTTGCAGAGGTGCTCAGGATACAACAGTTTAGAAGCATATACGTATAAAGATACACAACACATCCTTCCAAACTGCCAATATCCCAAATCCCTCCTTTAACCCTTTCAGGGTCCAAGGCCCAAATCTGGAGTCACGCACCAGTGTCCAAGAATTTTCAAAAAAAAAAAACTGTTATTTTTTCTTATGAAATCGTAGAGAATCTTTTTGTGAAGGTAATAAAACAAAAATTACGAAATTTGGTGGAAAATTGACAAAATTATGCTCTTGCGAATTTTGATGTGTCAGCGATATTTACGAATTGGCGATTTTGCTGACTTTGACTCCCATTTTAGGCCAATTACATTATTCCAATCAACCAAATTCTTAGCTATTTCACTAGTATTACTTCTATTCTATCGATTGAGCACAAGAAATCGCCAAGTCAACTGTTTCAACTACAAAATAAAGTGATCGGAAATTGTTAATTTGGCCAATTTAACACAAAGTTCAAAATATTCCAATTTCAAAATAGGGTCCAGAATAAACAATGTAGGCATTTCTGGCACTAAACTAACATTTCCTCTGTTCATTAGTTATGTTTTGAGGCTTTACAAATAAATTCCATTTTGATTTTTTATTCACATAATGAATTTTTATTCACACCAAAAAATAGAAGATTTACTGTTATGCAATACTGTAATAATTGTATAAATATCATCACCATATTTGTGAATGTATATTAGACCCACCAGCTGACGTGTATTAGACGTGTGAGGTCGTTTGTTTACTCTTGAATATCGGCAAAAATTTTACATTTCCGCTACTTTGAGCTCAGTTTCAAGCCATTTCCAGTGCTAAAACCAATCAAAATCATCTCTATTTCTGTAATATGTCTTCCATTCTATCAAATGAGACCAAGAAATCGCAAATACAACTATAAAAAACATACGAAAAAACACTGCAAAGTTGCTGTTTTAATCGAAAAATCATGATTTCAGTTTTTTCTCTCATTATACACAGCGTGCTGCAGGATCTGTTTTATGTGGTGCACACATACCACATAGATGTATTCTCTCATATCTAGGCCCAAATGTACCACTCACAGTTTATCAGAGTGAGCTGAGCTCATGGCGTAGATCTACGGTTTGGACACTCACCGTAAAGCCGTAGATCTACGGGACGGACCCTGAAAGGGTTAAAGTGCAAGCATTGTACTTCCCATTTCCAGGACTCAAGTCCGGCTATATAAAAATAACCGGTTTCCCTGAATCCCTTCACTAAATATTACCCTGCTCACACTCCAACAGCTCGTCAGGTCCCAAATACTATTTGTCTCCATTCACTCCTATCTAGCACTCACGCACGCTTGCTGGAAGTCCAAGCCCTTCGCCCACAAAACCTCCTTTACCTCTTCCCTCCAACCTTTTTGAGGACAACCTGTACCCTGCCTTCCTTCCCCTACAGATTTATACGCTGTCCATGTCATGTGCTAAAACTTGGTTTATCTTGTATCTTACGTATAGGTTTATATTGCCATGTTAGAGCTGCTTCAAGATATAATATTCCTCAGAACATGGCTTGAGGCTCATCGAATACCACACAACTTAGATGTATTATGTAACTGTTTACTTGCTTTTCCTTCCGCTTGTGTGCTGACATAGATAACATCATTTTTGTGCCTTCTCTTTAGCAGGAATAGTGTCAGAGAAGTGTGCACCAGGCTTCAGTTGAAATGGGTCATTTTTACTGCCATGGCAGCAACATGTTGACTGAGCCTTCACCTGGTATTTTTCTATTATCTCTCTTATGGTAGATAAATGAAAATCAGAGTTTGTCCTGTTTTCATCTGGAACATGTTGCATGCATTTAGTACTGCAGCATGCAATAAATGGAAAAAGCAGTTTCATGTACCACTTGCCTCTCCTTTTGACACATTCCACAGACCCAGTTTGCTTGTCTGATTTGTCTATCAAATGTATGCTGGGTTCTGTCTTACGGGGGTTTAGTCCTACAGGGATTTTATCCTCCGCCCATGTGCCAGTAGCTCTCCTGCAGTGCTCCTCTGTCCTCCTGTTCTTTAGACGACCACTATTACACCATTACTTCACTAACATTACACCCTCTGCCCCTTTTTCACTACTACTACTACCACTACCATCTTATTGACACCTCTATCACTGTTGCACTACTGCTACTAATAACTACCACTACTACTGTAATACATATTACTACTCCCTCATCCCATTCTACCACTCTTGTCCCCTGCCTCCCTCTTGTATATAATTCTAGTGCCCTTCCCTTTGCACTTCTCTTTGTGGCTAGTTAGTGGCCCAAGCCAAACAGTGTCGTCTCAAGTTTGTCTCGTGTGTGCGGGTTATGTGTGTATTGTTCCATTCACTGTATTGTGCCTTATTTATTCATGTTAGCGAGTTACCATGGGAAAATGGAACAGAATTCTTCCTCCATAAGCCATGTGTGTCATAAGAGGTGACTAAAATGCCAGGAGCAAGGGGTTAGTAACCCCTTCTCCAGTATACATTACTAAATTTAAAAAGAGAAACTCAATTTTTTTTTCTATTTTAAGTCACTCTGCCTCGGCGGGATATGGCTGGTTTGTTGAAAAAAAAAATTAGCAAGTTAATTAACATTTTATTCCTCACAGGGTACAGATCCTGAGGATGTCATCAAAAATGCATTTGGATGTTTTGATGAAAATAATCAAGGTTACATCAATGAAGAACATCTTAGAGAACTCCTTGTATCCATGGGCGATCGCTTCACAGATGAAGACGTAAGTTTTGCATGTTGCTTCTTTACTGTCTCTTCACAAGTTGCATATACAGTTTACAAGGTCTTTAGTACATTGAGGGTTCAAATCCAAGGGACACTAGAGTTGGCACAATGGTCCCTTGATCCCCAAAATATTGAGTATGAACCCTTTACTTCATTAGTTGCAAAAATTGACTAGAGAAATTTAGTTCCGTCTGTACCATTAGAACTGTAACTCCTACCTAATCTGAAACTCCCTGCTTGAAGTTTCTAAGGGTCTCCTGTCTGCCAGTTGTTTCTAAGCTATTGTTAACAAGCACCTCATCTCCTTAATGTGATCTTGACAGCAATACTGTGCTGAGCAAAACCTGTTTTCTTCCAGTTTTGTCCCTGTTCTTCTTCCAGCCTTCTTTCAACTCCAGTATATAATTAAATACCATATATTGTCCATTCTCCATGGGAAAGTGGAACAGAATTCTTCCTCTGTAAGCCGTGTGTGTCATAAGAGTCGACTAAAATGCCGGGAGCAAGGGGCTAGTAACCTCTTCTGTATACATTACTAAATTTAAAAAAAGAAATTTTGTTTTTCTTTTTTAGGCTGCCTTGCCTCGGTGAAATATTGCTGGTTTGTTGAAAAGAAATATTGTTCATTATGTTTGTATTGTAATTATTTTTATTTTTTTATTATCACACTGGCCGATTCCCACCAAGGCAGGGTGGCCCGAAAAGAAAAACTTTCACCATCATTTACTCGTCAATGTCTTGCCGGAAGGGTGCTTTACACTACAGTTTTTAAACTGCAACATTAACACCCCTCCTTCAGAGTGCAGGCACTGTACTTCCCATCTCCAGGACTCAAGTCCGGCCTGCCGGTTTCCCTGAACCCCTTCATAAATGTTACTTTGCTCACACTCCAACAGCACGTCAAGTATTAAAAACCATTTGTCTCCATTCACTCCTATCAAACACGCTCACGCATGCCTGCTGGAAGTCCAAGCCCCTCGCACACAAAACCTCCTTTACCCCCTCCCTCCAACCTTTCCTAGGCTGACCCCTACCCCGCCTTCCTTCCACTACAGACTGATACACTCTTGAAGTCACTCTGTTTCGCTCCATTCTCTCTACATGTCCGAACCACCTCAACAACCCTTCCTCAGCCCTCTGGACAACAGTTTTGGTAATCCCGCACCTCCTCCTAACTTCCAAACTACGAATTCTCTGCATTATATTCACACCACACATTGCCCTCAGACATGACATCTCCACTGCCTCCAGCTTTCTCCTCGCTGCAACATTCATCACCCATGCTTCACACCCATATAAGAGCGTTGGTAAAACTATAATCTCATACATTACCCTCTTTGCCTCCAAGGACAAAGTTCTTTGTCTCCACAGACTCCTAAGTGCACCACTCACCCTTTTCCCCTCATCAATTCTATGATTCACCTCATCTTTCATAGACCCATCCTTTGACATGTCCACTCCCAAATATCTAAATACATTCACCTCCTCCATACTCTCTCCCTCCAAGCTGATATCCAATCTTTCATCACCTAATCTTTTTGTTATCCTCATAACCTTACTCTTTCCTGTATTCACTTTTAATTTTCTTCTTTTGCACACCCTACCAAATTCATCCACCAATCTCTGCAACTTCTCTTCAGAATCTCCCAAGAGCACAGTGTCATCAGCAAAGAGCAACTGTGACAACTCCCACTTTATGTGTGATTCTTTATCTTTTAACTCCACGCCTCTTGCCAAGACCCTCGCATTTACTTCTCTTACAACCCCATCTATAAATATATTAAACAACCACAGTGACATCACACATCCTTGTCTAAGGCCTACTTTTACTGGGAAATAATTTCCCTCTTTCCTACATACTCTAACTTGAGCCTCACTATCCTCATAAAAACTCTTCACTGCTTTCAGTAACCTACCTCCTACACCATACACCTGCAACATCTGCCACATTGCCCCCCTATCCACCCTGTCATATGCCTTTTTCAAATCCATAAATGCCACAGAGACCTCTTTAGCCTTATCTAAATACTGTTCACTTGTATGTTTCACTGTAAACACCTGGTCCACACACCCCCTACCTTTCCTAAAGCCTCCTTGTTCATCTGCTATCCTATTCTCCGTCTTACTCTTAATTCTTTCAATAATAACTCTACCATACACTTTACCAGGTATACTCAACAGACTTATCCCCCTATAATTTTTGCACTCTCTTTTGTCCCCTTTGCCTTTATACAAAGGAACTAGGCACGCTCTCTGCCAATCCCTAGGTACCTTACCCTCTTCCATACATTTATTAAATAATTGCACCAACCACTCCAAAACTACATCCCCACCTGCTTTTAACATTTCTATCTTTATTCCCTCAATCCCGGCTGCCTTACTCCCTTTCATTCTACCTACTGCCTCACGAACTTCCCTCACACTCACAACTGGCTCTTCCTCACTCCTACAAGATGTTATTCCTCCTTGCCCTATACACGAAATCACAGCTTCCTTATCTTCATCAACATTTAACAATTCCTCAAAATATTCCCTCCATCTTTCCAATACCTCTAACTCTCCATTTAATAACTCTCCTCTCCTATTTTTAACTGACAAATCCATTTGTTCTCTAGGCTTCCTTAACTTGTTAATCTCACTCCAAAACTTTTTCTTATTTTCAACAAAATTTGTTGATAACATCTCACCCACTCTCTCATTTGCTCTCTTTTTACATTGCTTCACCACTCTCTTAACCTCTCTCTTTTTTTCCATATACTCTTCCCTCCTTGCATCACTTCTACTTTGTAAAAGCTTCTCATATGCTAACTTTTTCTCCCTTACTACTCTCTTTACATCAGCATTCCACCAATCGCTCCTCTTCCCTCCCACACCCACTTTCCTGTAACCACAAACTTCTGCTGAACACACTAACACTACATTTTTAAACCTACCCCATACCTCTTCGACCCCATTGCCTATGCTCTCATTAGCCCATCTGTCCTCCAATAGCTGTTTATATCTTACCCTAACTGCCTCCTCTTTTAGTTTATAAACCTTCCCCTCTCTCTTCCCTGATGCTTCTATTCTCCTTGTATCCCATCTACCTTTTGCTCTCAGAGTAGCTACAACTAGAAAGTGATCTGATATATCTGTGGCCCCTCTATAAACATGTACATCCTGAAGTCTACTCAACAGTCTTTTATCTACCAATACATAATCCAACAAACTACTGTCATTTCGCCCCACATCATATCTTGTATACTTATTTATCCTCTTTTTCTTAAAATATGTATTACCTATAACTAAACCCCTTTCTATACAAAGTTCAATCAAAGGGCTCCCATTATCATTTACACCTGGCACCCCAAACTTACATACCACACCCTCTCTAAAAGTTTCTCCTACTTTAGCATTCAGATCCCCTACCACAATGACTCTCTCACTTGGTTCAAAGGCTCCTATACATTCACTTAACATCTCTCTCTCCTCTACATTCCTCTCTTCTCCAGGTGCATACACACTTATTATGACCCACTTTTCGCATCCAACCTTTACTTTAATCCACATAATTCTTGAATTTACACATTCATATTCTCTTTTCTCCTTCCATAACTGATCCTTCAACATTACTGCTACCCCTTCCTTTGCTCTAACTCTCTCAGATACTCCAGATTTAATCCATTTATTTCCCCCCACCGAAACTCCCCTACCCCCTTCAGCTTTGTTTCACTTAGGGCCAGGACATCCAACTTCTTTTCATTCATAACATCAGCAATCGTCTGTTTCTTGTCATCCGCACTACATCCACGCACATTCAAGCATCCCAGTTTTATAAAGTTTTTCTTCTTCTCTTTTTTAGTAAATGTCTACAGGAGAAGGGGTTACTAGCCCATTGCTCCCGGCATTTTAGTCGCCTCATACGACACGCATGGCTTACGGAGGAAAGATTCTTTTCCACTTCCCCATAGACAATAGAAGAAATAAAGAAGAACAAGACCTATTTAGAAAAAGGAGAAAAACCTAGATTTTTTTTTTTTTTTTCAACAAGTCGGCCGTCTCCTACCGAGGCAGGGTGACCCAAAAAAGAAAGAAAATCCCCAAAAAGAAAATACTTTCATCATCATTCAACACTTTCACCACACTCACACATTATCACTGCTTTTGCAGAGGTGCTCAGAATACAACAGCTTAGAAGCATATACAGTGTACGTATAAAGATACACAACATATCCCTCCAAACTGCCACTATCCCAAACCCCTCCTTTAAAGTGCAGGCATTGTACTTCCCATTTCCAGGACTCAAGTCCGACTATATGAACATAACCGGTTTCCCTGAATCCCTTCACTAAATATTACCCTGCTCACACTCCAACAGATCGTCAGGTCCCAAGTATCATTCGTCTCCATTCACTCCTATCTAACACGCTCATGCACGCTTGCTGGAAGTCCAAGCCCCTCGCCCACAAAACCTCCTTTACCCCCTCTTTCCAACCCTAGGGTTAAGTAATCTAAATCCTTGAGTAGCTTTAAAAACTTTTGGGCAAATATATTTGTAAAAGGAGTTAGATTTGAGGACCTGCCTAGCATAGGCCAGTAGGCTACTGCAGTACTCCTCCAGTCTTAAATACTGGTGCCATAAATATAAATATGGTGTGGTGCCATTTAAGTGCCGGTGATTCATGACTACATGCTAAGACTTGAAATTATGCTTCATAAATTTTAAACAAGAGAAACAATATATTTTCTTTTGATTTTCAGTGAACCAAGAACTTTGGGTAGTTTTGCAAATAGGTTAGGCAAGTATGTGAGTTGGACCTACCAAGCATGGGTCAGTAGGCTTCCTGCAGTATTCTTTCTTTTGTTATTATGAGTGGGTGTGAGTTGGATCTGCCTGGCATGGGCCAGTAGACCTGCTATAATGCTCCCTTTTTTGCTTTTGTTTTTGTCAGACATTACTTAAGATTGGAAGAGAGAGGAGGGGGGGTATATGAAAACAAAGCTATGAACATTTGTTTTATCATATTCAAAATAATTCAAGGTGTATATGCCAAAGGTACTATATTTATATATCCAGTTTTCTTTCAATTCAACCCTGATTGCAAATGGAGGGAAGCAGGCAGGTGGTCTCTCAGGATCTGAACATGTGCACTCATAACCTGTGGCTTGTTAATGTATCACAAAATATGGGTTCAACAACTAAACTGATAC